ATCAGGTAGATATGTACTCTGAAAACATCAGTCAGAAGTGAGTGAGGTGCAGGTCTCCACCCGAGAGGTGATGGCTGTGAGCTAGAAACTTTTAAGTGGGTGTTGTAGAAAGACAGTGGAGGAGGAAATATACAGATGCAGATATGCTGGAACTGTGACATGCAGTTCCACAGACTGATGTATATAAAGCACATATGTGCAGGGTATAAATGTGGTTATATTTTAAACTAGCAGAAAAAGCAAACGTTAACATGAGTAAACAAGACGATGATCTGACTGATTTGGGTTTCAAAACTTACACAACGCCATCCCAAGCTATGTGGGCTTGGGGCCAAGCAGAAGCACCTGGAGGCAAATCCTGAGAAACCTGCCTTCTTCCCCTGGGTGTTCTAGGATTCCCAGTGGCAGGAGTGGCATGGGTAAGGGATGGGAGGCAAAGATCCAGCTGGGTTTCTTCCAGCCCACTTCTCGCACTGGGATCCAAGAGCTGGAATGGGGCTTCTCCTTCATTCAGAGCACAAGAGGTGACGTATTTAAGCCTTATATAGTTCAGATTTAAAAGATAAACCACTACCATCACCCAGGAAGTGTAAAATCCTCCATCAGTCAATGGATCAGTAGTATAAGCTCTTCAAACAAACAAACTCACTTTTAAGAGGAGCCAGTAGGAGCAAAAAGATCCTGGCAGGTTTTGTCATGCTGGTAAATATGCAGTAAAGGGGACTGCCTGGTTTAAGGATTCAGTACTGGGATAATCGAACCTTTCATCTACAACTTGCTGGTTCAGATTTGGTCAGGCTCAGTGGTGACAAAAAATTATGGCAATCAAAGGTCTCTCTGGGTTTCTGCAGAATTAGTTGGAATGGATCACTTGATGATTACCTGTACTGTTCATTCCCTCTGGGGCACCTGGTATTAGCCACAGTTGGAAGACAGGATACTGGGCTAGATGGAGTTTGGGTTTGCCCCAGTATGGCTGTTCTTATGTTCTTATCCAGTTCCTAGCGGACATAAAAACCACCTCTAGAACTGATACCTGTGGACATCTTAGGGCACATCTACATGGAAGCTGTGGGTTTAGTTTGCAGTTTGTGGAGACATAACCATGCTAGTTCTACTCTAGCTGACTTGCTAACAGCACTGTAAATCCAGAGTAACTTTACTGACTTCATTAGCTCTGTACTCCAGAGTTACACCAGTATAACTGAGAGCAGAAGGTGTCCCTTTGTTCTTAGAACTGCAGTGCAAAGGAAATATAAGCCTTAACATTTATATGTGCATTTATATAGACATTAATTAACCCTCCAACCCCACCCCCAATGGACGTAGGTGGTACAATGGTGGAACACATTGATAGAGGTCATGATTTCTCCAGGAACAGTGGCAGACCCAGGAGAAGAACCATACCTCTCATTCTTCAAACCTGCCAATGTGTGAAGGAAGCAACTGAAATGTGTGACAGATGACTGAAATGGGGAACACCATATGCTTTGTTGCACCTCACTCCATAATTGACATTATAATGGTTTTTAACTATAAAAACTGTTTTTAAATAAATGAGTTGTAAAAAGAAAATTGTCAAAACACAAATGGTACTTCATGCAACCACAGGTATTCCCTGTACCGGTCAGTCCCCAGCTTTGCATCCAAGACCTTCACATTTCTAACTTAAAGAACAGGAGTATTTGTGGCACCTTAGAGACTAACACATTTATTAGAGCATAAGCTTTCGTGGGCTACAGCCCACTTCATGGGATGCATAGAATGGAACATATAGTAAGAAGTTATATATATACGTACAGATAAGTTGGAAGTTGCCATACAAACTGTGAGAGGCTAATTAATTGAGATGAGCTGTTATCAGCAGGAGAAAAAAACGTTTGTAGTGATGATCAAGATGGCCCATTTAGACAGTTGACAAGAATATGTGAGGATAGTTAACTTAGAGAAATAGATTCAAAATGTGTAATGACCCAGCCACTCCCAGTCTCTATTCAAACCTAAGTTAATGGTATCTAGTTTGCATATTAATTCAAGCTCAGCAGTTTTTCATGGGAGTCTGTTTTTGAAGCTTTTCTGTTGCAAAATTGCCACCCTTAAATCTTTTACTGAGTGGCCAGAGAGGTTGAAGTGTTCTCCTGCCGGTTTTTGAATGTTATGATTCCTGATGTCAGATTTGTGTCCATTTATTCTTTTGCATAGAGACTGTCCAGTTTGGCAAATGTACATGGCAGAGGGGCAATGGTGGCACATGATGGCATATATCACATTGGTAGATGTGCAAGTGAATGAGCCCCTGATGGCGTGGCTAATGTCACATATTGAATCTATTTCCCTAAGTTAAGTATCCTCACACCTTCTTGTCAACTGTCTAAATGGGCCATCTTGATTATCACTAAAAAGTTTTTTCTCCTGCTGATAATAGCTCATCTTAATTAATTAGCCTCTCGCAGTTTGTATGGCAACTTCCAACTTATGTGTATGTATATATATCTTCTTACTATATGTTCCATTCTATGCATCCGATGAAGTGGACTGTAGCCCACGAAAGCTTATGCTCTAATAAATTTGTTAATCTCTAAGGTGCCACAAGTACTCGGATACAGACTAACACGGCTGCTACTCTGAAACCATTCCTAACTTAGACATCTACCACTTGAGCTAAAGAAGTAAAGGTTAGCCCCTCTGTGGGCCAGCAAGCAGAGGAGGACATGACATACACTTTGCCAATGAGTCACCCAGCTATTTGCTAGATGGTAGTGGAAGGTTGGGGATTGGGATTCCTGAGTTCTGTTCTTGGCTCTGGAAGGAGTATGGAGTACTGGTTAGAGCAGTGGTTAGCAATAGGTTAGTCAAGTACCTTGGTTCTATTTCCAGTTATACCAGAAGTCACCTTGTACAATCACTCATTTGTAAAATTGGGTGATAGATATTACCTCTGTCTTCGGCTGTGAGACCATGCTTCATAATAAAGGTTTTAATGTGCACAGAAACATAAACACCAGGTAGTGGAAGAGGTAAGCTCCAGTCTCATGGCCTTGTGGCTCTCAGCCCAGCACAACTTTGCCTAAGGCAAAGGGTATCATGAGGCTGTTTCTCTCATCCATGGACCATTGCCTTGCTAGTGTGACTGCAGGAAAGGAAGCATTCCACAAAATCTAGGATGCTTGAAAAGTCTGACTAAAACTAAGATCTTAAAATGTGTACCTACTCTAGTACAGCATGCTTCTTCTCAGTGAGAGTGTTATAACAGTTATCAGACCATTTTACAAAAAGTAACATAACAAGATGGACAGTACCCATAGGACATGTAGAATACAGCACAACAATTTTACCTGTCTTGGTTATCTGGTGACCTTTACACTGTATCATGAATATTTTCCTTTGTTTTGCTGCAGCCTGAATTAATTGAAAGTATAAATAATATATCTCCATATCTGAACATGCTGTAACCTTTTTCAGTCATTTACAATTAAAAATAGATTGAATCAAACTGAAATAAATTGACTGCTTTTGGAATTTTACAGTTTATGAGGAAACATTTCTGTGTTCAGCATTTGACAGTTGCTTTATACAAAAGCACAGGCCAGATATTCTTCCTTTTTCTACTCCTTACCCATTGTCTGTTTTAATCAAGCTTATAGCAAGTAGCATTCCATTACTGTTGTCTTGGAAGCTAGTTGTTGGCCTTCTCAGAAAGATTTTATTAGTCCTTGGAATGGCTTGAGCATTGGATACAAGGAGGAATATTGGCATTCCAGTTGGTAAAACTTTCAAATCTAATTGCCAGGATTATTTATTTTGTCCTGCTCAGGCAGTTGGAAAGGTTCACACCAATTCTAATCCAACTAAAGTGGTGATAGATTCTGATTAAATTAGTATCATTTTTGGATTGATATATATTTTCCCTGGGCGGGGAAATAATTTGATTTGTTTTATAATGAACAGGACATTATGAAAATAAACAAACCAACTAGCAACTCTGGAAAGTCAAATATTTAGAAATTGAGGAGCATTTAAGGGGTTTGCCAGTATTGTTTCTTATTTTAGCTACAAGTCCAAAAAGTGTCAGCAGATAGGGCAGATTTTTAGGCAGAGTAACTGATAACTAGAGTGGCTGTTCAGTGGATGGCTTGAGCTTTAGCATAAATCCAAGGGAGATTAGACAGAAAAACAATATACCTTGCGCCAAATGAAGCTTGGATCCTAGTGAGGCAGCCAGTATGGCTAATATCCACTGGAATGGATATTCTGGCTATGTGTTATAGCACTCCCATTTGCAATGTACAAATTAACATTGTGGCACCATGTCCATTAGGCAGCCTATTTTCCAGGCACTTACAACTCAATCATAAAATTTGGCTCCAGTCTGAAATTTGGCACCAGACTGAACCCTGAAGTAATGTTTTCCTTTTCTGATTAGATAGGAGTCCAAACAATTACATGGGAGTCATTTTAACTTTTGTTTATGGCTATCTCATGATTAGTTTTAATGTAGAGACTGACAAGGCCGGATTCTCAGCCAGAGTAAATTCATGTAGCTCCATGGACTTTAATGGAGCTATACCAGCCCTGGCCCTTGGAGACTGGAAAACAACGCATTATTCAAAAATTGTAGGAGTGGCTGCAATTCCCCAGATAAGGCCCTGAAACTGCAAAGTGATGCAATAGAATAGGGGGCACAGGGATGCATAGTAGTGCAGCTATTAATGGGATAGGGACCCTAGTGATGTGAAAGGGCAGAAGGGGAGCATTTGCATGTGTACGCCACAACTGTTCCATTATAGAGTTGCACCTTAAAAAGATGGTTAAACTGTCTTTAAAAATACCTGTGAGATATCACAATGCCAAAGTATGCTTAACCTTGATGTGAAGCAAACTTGCAAATTTACTGTAATTCAAAGGTGAAGGTTGATATTATTTCATCCTGTTGTTCTCAACTGAGTATGATTACAGGTTGCAGTGATAGAGCTAACTTTGTATTTCTTCGCTTTTGTCAGTTTGTGTCTCAGCCTTGGTCTACACTAGGAGTTGAGGTTGAATTTAGCAGCGTTAAATCGATTTAAGCCTGCATCCGTCCACACGACGAAGCCCCTTTTTCAACTTAAAGGGCTCTTAAAATCAATTTCCTTACTCCACCCCCGACAAGAGGATTAGCGCTGAAATCGGCCTTGCCGGATCAAATTTGGGGTACTGTGGACACAATTCGACGGTATTGGCCTCCGGGAGCTATCCCAGAGTGCTCCATTGTGACTGCTGTGGACAGCACTCTCCACTCAGATGCACTGGCCAGGTAGACAGGAAAAGGCCCGCGAACTTTTGAATTTCAATTTCCTGCTTGGCCAGCTTGGCAAGCTGGAGGCGACCATGCAGAGCTCATCAGTAGAGGTGACCATGATGGAGTCCCAGAATCGCAAAAGAGATCCAGCATGGACCGAACGGGAGGTATGGGATCTGATCGCTGTATGGGGAGAGGAATCAGTGCTATCAGAACTCCGTTCCGGTTTTTGAAATGCCAAAACATTTGTCAAAATCTCCCAGGGCATGAAGGACAGAGGCCATAACAGGGACCCGAAGCAGAGCCACGTGAAACTTAAGGAGCTGAGGCAAGCCTACCAGAAAACCAGAGAGGCAAACGGCCACTCCGGGTCAGAGCCCCAAACATGCCGCTTCTATGATGAGCTGCATGCCATTTTAGGGGGGGTTCAGCCACCACTGCCTCGCCGTGTTGTTTGACTCCTTCAATGGAGATGGAGGCAACAGAGAAGCAGGTTTTGGGGACAAGGAAGATGATGATGATGAGGTTGTAGATAGCTCACAGCAAACAAGCGGAGAAACCAGTTTTCCCGACAGCCAGGAACTGTTTCTCACCCTGGACCTGGAGCCAGTACCCCCCGAACCCACCCAAGGCTGCCTCCCGGACCTGCCAGGTGGAGAAAGGACCTCTGGTGCGTGTACCTTTTAAAATACTATACATGGTTTAAAAGCAAGCATGTTTAATGATTAATTTGCCCTGGCATTCGCAGCTCTCCTGGATGTACTCCCAAAGCCTTTGCAAAAGGTTTCTGGGGAGGGCAGCCTTATTCCATCCACCATAGTAGGACACTTTACCACTCCAGGCCAGTAGCACGTAGTCGGGAATCATTGTAGAACAAAGCATTGCTGGCGTTCAAACAATATCCATTCTTTATCTCTCTGTGTTATCCTCAGGAGAGTGATATCATTCATGGTCACCTGGTTGAAATAGGGTGCTTTTCTTAAGGGGACATTCAGAGGTGCCCGTTCCTGCTGGGTTGTTTGCCTGTAGCTGAACAGAAAAGTTCACCACTGTTAGCCACGGGGATGGGGGGATGGTGGAGGGGCTAGCCACACGGTGGGGGGAGGCAAAATGCGACCTTGGAACGAAAGCATATGTGCTATGTATGTAATGTTAACAGCAAGGTTTACCGTGAAAGAGTGTACTCATTGTTCTATAAAATGTGTCTTTTTAAATACCACTGTCCCTTTTTTTTCTCCACCAGCTGTATGTGTTTCAAGGACAACAGGATCTTCTCCTTCCCAGAGGCTAGCGAAGATTAGAAGGCAAAAAAAAACGCACTTGCGATGAAATGTTCTCTGAGCTCTTGCTGTCCTCCCACACTGACAGAGCACAGACGAATGCATGGAGGCAGACAATGTCAGAGTGCTGGAAAGCACAAAATGACCGGGAGGAGAGAGGTGGCGGGCTGAAGAGAGTAAGTGGTGGGCTGAAGAGAGGGCTGAAGCTGAAAGGTGGCAGCAGCGTGATGAGAGGAGGCAGGATTCAATGCTGAGGCTGCTGGAGGATCAAACCAATATGCTCCAGCATATGGCTGAGCTGCAGGAAAGGCAGCTGGAGCGCAGACCGCCACTAAAGCCCCTGTGTAACCAACCGCCCTCTTCCCCAAGTTCCATAGCCTCCTCACCCAGATGCCAAGAACACGGTGGGGGGGCCTCTGGCCACCCAGCCACTCCACCCCAGGGGATTGCCCAAGCAACAGAAGGCTGGCATTCAATAAGTTTTAAAGTTTTAAACTTTTAAAGTGCTGTGTGGCCCTGTCCTCCCCTCCTCCACCAACCCTCCTGGTACTTCTCTCCTCCACCACCCCTCCTGGGCTACCTTGGTAGTTATCCCCCTGTTTGTGTGATGAATGAATAAAGAATGCATGAATGTGAAGCAACAATGACTTTATTGACTCTGCAAGCGGTGATCGAAGGGAGAAGGGGAGGGTGGTTAGCTTACAGGGAAGTAGAGTGAACCAAGGGGCAGGGGGTTTCATCAAGGAGAAACAAACAGAATTTTCACACTGTAGCCTGGCCAGTCATGAAACTGGTTTTCAAAGCTTCTCTGATGCACACCACGCCCTCCTGTGCTCTTCTAACCGCCCTGGTGTCAGGCTGTGCGTAACCAGCAGCCAGGCGATTTGCCTCAACCTCCCACCCCACCAGAAACATCTCCCCCTTACTCTCACAGATACTGTGGAGCGCACAGCAAGCAGTAATAACAGTGGGAATATTGGTTTCGCTGAGGTCTAACTGAGTTAGTAAACTGCGCCAGCGTGCTTTTAAACATCCAAATGCACATTCTACCACCATTCTGCACTTGCTTAGCCTGTAGTTGAACTGCTCCTGACTACTGTCCAGGCTGCCTGTGTATGGCTTCATGAGCCATGGCATAAAGGGGAGGCTGGGTCCCCAAGGATAACTATAAGCATTTCAACATCCCCAACGGTTATTTTCTGGTCTGAGAATAAAGTCCCTTCCTGCAGCTTTTGAAACAGACTGGAGTTCCTGAAGATGCGAGCGTCATGTACCTTTCCCGGCCATCCCACATTGATGTTGGTGAAACGTCCCTTGTGATCCACCAGTGCTTGCAGCACTATTGAAAAGTACCCCTTGCGGTTTATGTACTCACCAGCATGGTGCTCCCATGCCAAGATAGGGATATGGGTTCCATCTATGGCCCCACCACAGTTAGGGAATCCCATTGCAGCAAAGCCATCCACTATGACCTGCACATTTTCCAGGGTCACTACTTTGATATCAGCAGATCTTTGATTGCGTTGGCTACTTGCATCACAGCAGCCCCCCCAGTAGATTTGCCCACTCCAAATTGATTCCTGACTGACCGGTAGGTGTCTGGCATTACAAGCTTTCACAGGGCTATTGCCACTCACTTCTCAACTGTGAGGGCCGCTCTCATCTTGGTATTCTTGTGCCTCAGGGCAGGGGAAAGGAAGTCACAAAGTTCCATGAAAGTGCCCTTATGCATGTGAAAGTTTTGCAGCCACTGGGAATTGTCCCAGACCTGCAACACTATGCGGTCCCACCAGTCTGTGCTTGTTTCCCGAGCCCAGAATCAGCGTTCCACCACATGAACTTGCCCCATTAGCACCATGATGCCCACATTGCCAGGTCCCGTGCTTTGAGAGAAGTCTGTGTCCATGTCCTCATCACTCTTGTCACTGCGCTGACGTCACCTACTCGCCCGGTTTCGCTTTGCCAGGTTCTGGTGCTGCATATACTGCTGAATAATGCGCGTGGTGTTTAATGTGCTCCTAAGTGCCAAAGTGATCTGAGCCAAAGTGATCATTGCCAGGGCTCCATGCTTGCCGTGATATGGCGTCTGCACAGAAAAAAGGCATGGAACGATTGTCTGCCATTGCTCTGATGGAGGGAGGGGTGACTGACAACATGGCTTACAGGGAATTAAAATCAACAAAGGGGGTGGCTTTGCGAGAAACAGAATGGCCCCCACAAAGATAGAACTGAAAACCTCAAGGATAGAACTCAAAACTGGGTTTAGCAGGCCATTGATTTCACGGAGGGAGAGAGGAGAAAACAAATACAAAACAAATCTGGTCTGTTTCTTGTTTTGATCCACTTCATCTATCTTTATACATCTTGCTGACAGCAGACTGTGCAGTACGACCGTTAGCCATCATCATCTCCTGGGTGCTCAGCAGAAGACGGTGCAGTATGACTGCTGGCCGTCATCTTCTGCTGGCTGCAGATTAAAAGACAGTGCACTGCCGGTAGGACTGAATCGCCATGAAATGAAACTTAAAAGGGAAATGACCTGGCTGAGTCACTTCCACATCTGCTCAGGTGCCCCTGACCTCATCGAGGTTGGTTAAAAGAGCACTCTAGACTACGTCGATGACGGCTACCAGTCATACTGCACTCTCTGCAGCCAAAAGGCAATAAACTCTTTCTGCGTAGCAATGCAGTACCGCATTTGTCAGCACCCAGGAGATATACAGTGACGGTTAACTGAGCGGGCTCCATGCTTGCCGTGGTATGGCGTCTGCACAGGTAACTCAAGAAAAAAGGCGCAAAACGATTGTCTGCCCTTGCTTTCATGGAGGGAGGGAGGGAGGAAGTGAGGGAGGGAACGGGGGCTTGACAATATGTACCCAGAACCACCCGCGACAATGTTTTAGCCCCATCAGGCATTGGGATCTCAACCCAGAATTCCAATGGGCAGTGGAGACTGCGGGAACTGTGGGATAGCTACCCATAGTGCAACACTACGGAAGTCGATGGTTGCCTCGGTACTGTGGACACACTCTGCTGACTACAGGCACTTAGAGCACACAATCGACTGTATAAAAACACTTTCTACAAAACCGACTTCTATAAATTCGATCTAATTTCGTAGTGTAGACATACCCTCAGCCTTTATAGAGATTTCATTAGGCAGTGAATATATACATACAGTAAAGCACATCCTTGTATCTCACATGGATCCTTAGGGAATGCGTCAAGTTGAAACTTAATAAGGCTGCATGTGATAACACTATTTAAACAAATATGCAATGGAAAAAAAAAAAACCACATCCCTTCACTGATTCATAGCTCTGACTGGAGACAGCAAATATCTCAAAGAATCCTACAACATTGACAAGGAAGACAGAGCATCTGAACTGTTTATTCCAGAGCTGTAGGAAACCATCTGATTGATTCCTCCTCTCCCTTCCCAGAACTGTATTAGAGAAGCTCTACAATGGCCAATCAACAAGAAATCCTGGCACTTCTGACAGTATTGCAATGTTTTATTATCCCCACCTGCAACACTTGACATTCACAACCTCTGATGGAAAATACAAGGATAGTGTTCACGGTATAGGATTGTACAGTAAGCTCTGGTGTACCATGAAATTATATAAATGTTTTCCAAAGCAGTTTTACATCTAACAAAGCTATTGACTTGAAACTGGGAAAATAAGAGCTAGGTTTTGGATGAAATTTGATCTAATGGGGGCCAAATTCTACTGGCTATAACAGAAGCATCATCTGAGGAAGTCTATTGACTTAATGAGAGTTATTTGGGATTTATGATGGCGTTAGAGCAGAACTTGGTGCATGGAATCCCCTTGTGCGTAGTGGGTCAGATGCTCAGCTTGTCTAAATGGGCATTGGTCCATTGAGTTCAATGGAATGATTCCAGTTTAGTCGTGCTGAGGATCTAGCTCATTGCTCTTTGTAAAGCAGATTTGGGCCCTAAAGGCTATTATCATTTACTAAAAAAGCTCCATAGTCTGCTGCTGAGTTCACTTTAAAATTAACCTAACAAAATCCAGAATGTAAGAATTAACTAAAGCCAAATGCTGCCCTCAGTTACACTGCTGTAAATCCAGAGTAACCACATTGATTTTACTGGAGTTACTCTGTAGTTACCTCAGTACAACAAAGATCAGAATCTGCCCTTTAATCTTCTAGATTTAAGTGTGAAAACATACCAGAGCAATTAAAACTGGGAGGTTGGCAGATAAAAAAGGGAAGCTGGGGAGTAGCTGTGCATTGATTCTCTTTTTGGTGGTATATAAAGTGCTACTGTCATTTCATTTTGAACTCTGCCAAAAATAAATTAGTCAGGAATTCATCATTCTCCCAGTTTTATTTCTTTTATAAAATAAAAGAGTTTAATATGGAAATGGAAGTCAGTAATGATGAAATCCCTTCTTTAATATGCTTTTCGCTGCTTATTTGTATTATTCAGTCCTCTCTGTGCTGTCTGTCTCTCATGCTGTGGTCTGACGCTTATATCTTCTTATACTTCTTTTAAGTATTCCCCTTCCCTAAAGTTAAGCTGTCATGCATAGCAGCCTTTATAAATACTGGGCTGGATTCTACTCTCATTTTCTTTTCTGAAAATTCAGAGCAACTCAACTGAAGTTGGAATGGAATTACTCCAGATTTGCACTTGTAGAAGTTAGAACAGAATCTTGCCAATGGTCTATTGACAAATGCCCTAACAATAATGTTTGCTACATTGTCACTTCCTAGATCTATTGATAATAAGACCAGCATTTATAACAGGATTAATTTGCTATGGCCTAGATCATCCTCTCCTGCAGTAAAACCCACAGAAGGGAATTATGGAGGAAGAAATCTTGGCAATGAACCCTTCACTGGGACTTCAGTGTAGATCCCAGGAGTGAGTGTTCCCTGAGAAAAACACCCACACATAAAATTGGCCACTGGGCTCATGAATAAGCCTGGCAGTTCCTTCTGGAAGAGGGGGGTGGGATCCATATAGAGTCCAGGGCTATTGTGCCTCTGCACTGTGTCTGGCCCTGAGCAGCTCTAGTGAAACCACACTGCCTCCATGCCCTCTACAGAATAGATAACATGTCCCCATATTGTATTACCACATTCTCCCTCATGGCCCACCTGCTTCTGCCCATGTCCTGTGTGATCTCTGCCTCATCTTTCTTCCTTTGTGGACCTGGATCTATGGAATGTTCTTCATGTCCAAAGAAGGCTGGTGGGAGACAGGCGAAGATGTCGCTGAAGTGGCTGACCATCCCTCCTTTGTTGCAGAAGTGGGGAGATCTGCACACGGCAAGGGAGATCTGGGCTTGCATAAGGAATCATTAAAATAACTAAACGGTCTAGTTGTTCTATCACTTACATCAGCTTACAGTGCTGGGACTCCACTGATTCCTGTTGTTACTCCCGGTTTATAGTGGTGTAAGCAAAGTCAGAATCAGGCTCAGGAAGCATTTGAAAGGTACAAAGAGAAAGCAAGCAGAGAAATGTTCTTAGAGTGCTCCAAAAATTTCAACTAGCAGAAATGGAAGAAAATGAGCAAAGGAGCATTTTGGCTTAGTCCCATTTGTGATTGGTTTCCCAAGCGAAATGGTGG